ACCAGCAGGAGAGTGAATTTGTGTGGGGGGGTGGAGAGTGAGAAAACCTGGATTTGTGCTGGAAATGGCCCACCTGTTGATCACTTTAGATAAGCTATTACCAGCAGGACAGTGGGGTGGGAGGAGGTATTGTTTCATATTCTCTGTGTGTATATAAAGTCTGCTGCAGTTTCCACGGTATACATCTGATGAAGTGAGCTGTAGCTCACGAAAGCTCATGCTCAAATAAATTGGTTAGTCTCTAAGGTGCCACAAGTACTCCTTTTCTTTTTGCGAATACAGACTAACACGGCTGTTCCTCTGAAACCAGTAATTTGCCAGTTTCCCAAAAGTCTCCCAAGGCTACCTAGAGTTAGAATCCAAACAGTCCACAGATGAAAAATGTTTCCGCCTGCCCATATTTACAGCAACAGCTCCCACGTGGGTCTCCTTGTGGGCAGGGGGAGGAGGGGACGCCCGTAACAAAGTCTTTGATCCTCATTTGCGTTCAGCGGATAGGATTTACCAGCTTCTCGCAAGAGCTCATCAGCTGCATTCCGCGAGGCTTCGTTCTCGTTGGGCGGGTTATTTTGGTACAGGGGTACGCGCAAGGCAAACATTTACTGTTACATTATAGCCGGGGTATCGCTGGGTGAGACCAACACACGCAGCGCATCCTGCGAGCAGTTTATAAACCGCTTAGCGACACAATGTCTGATGTTTATTCTGATGACGCTGACACCTAGGTGACTCAGAGAGGTTTCCAGCTAGGCGTTTGTCAGGGTTCAGGGAGGCCTGGGACCTCGGCACAAGCTAGCCTCTGGTCTGCCAGTATCACAGAAAGGAAGATCACACAAGAGGGTGGATCGGCAGCTGTCAGAATTGCCGGGTGGCCGGAGGCAGGAGTGGGCGCAAGCTGGTTCACAGTTACATGGCCAAGGCAGGAGAGACTCTTGTTTTATGCTCCTGCTGGGTGCGGGCTAAGGTTCTCTGTTACCCTAGAAGGGCCAGGCGGACTGAACCACATTTAGAGCTCCGGTGGGGAAACTGAGGCAGAGCGCTGCATGGCCACAAGGGGGTGCACCAGGATGGCGCAGCTGTTGCAATGTCCTAGCCCGACTGGGATTTCATCTCCCAAAGAAGTGAAATTCTTTTGCCTAGCTAAAATCTCTGGCTCAATACAGGGGTATCGGGGGTTAAACTGACGAGCCAGGAAATCAGATTGATGCTCTAACAAACTCTGAAATCAGAACTCCAGCAAACTGGTTTCCTCCCCAAACTTGCCAGAAAAATACCACTCTGGCCTACGCACACCCATTATGAAATGGGGTGCTTGAATGCTTGGAACAATTGGACTGTGCCACGGAAGCGTGGTGGGGAAAGCCACCCCTAGCTTGTTTGCAGGGCCGAGACTAGACTAGTGCCTGTGAATTCAGAGGAAAAGTTGCAGGGGAAAGACAGCCCAGGACCTGGGGATTGAGCGGGGGCGGGTGGGGAGCTAGAAGCTGGCTACCTATGCTCAGTGCTGCTCCCTGGAAGAAAAGATCTTGCCAGAGGAAAAACCAACGCAGGATGTAAGAACATAAGAACGGCCAGACTGGGTCAGACCAAACGTCCATCTAGCCCAGTGTCCTGACTTCCAACAGTGGCCGATGCCAGGTGCTTCAGAGGGAATCAACAGAACAGGTCATCATCAAGCGATCCATCCCCTGTCGCTCATTCCCAGCTTCTGGCAAACCGAGGCTTGGGACACCCCACTCTGGTTGCAGATGAACCTGGGTAAAATCCCTGCAGGGTGCGACACCCCTGAAACTGCTAAAGGCAAATCTCACAAGGCCGGCAGTCGAATGTTAATTAGCAACTGTGGGTTGTATCGGTAGGACAGATAGTGCCACGGAAGGGAAAGGGCGACCCCTTGAGGTGTCACTGAAGAGCCGCATCTTATTAAGATTAGTTAGTATTGTTCCATCACGTTTTAAGAGCCCACCGGAGCATCTACTCTGACCTCCCGGCTGGTCAATTTCAAGCAGCTACCCCTAGATTGACTTTAGTTAGACCAAAGCAACTTAGCTCTCAGGAGACGAAACTGGCAGAGAAGAGGAGGGGCTGAGACATACTTCCTGACCGGCTGCAGGCGACTGGCTGCAGCCCTGAAGCATGAGAGTGGATTGGAGTCGTGGTCCAAATGCCATGTTGCAAACATGGCGATCATACCGAGGGCAATGCAGGCAATTCTGTTCTTCCCCATGAGGGTGACTCGGAGTGGTTATCGACCGTCGCTGCTGGACTTTAGCGCAGGTCCATGGGTTCCTCCAGCCAGTCGGGCCGTCTGGCTAAGGGAAGGGCTTCTGCCGCCAGCCCTAATTCTTGACAACGCGCTGGTCAATTTCCTAGTGTAGACAAAGCCAGTGGCTCAAATGGGTGGAGCTTATTTGGTGGGAGGGGCTCGGAAGAGTGTCATCAGGGATGACCGTGTGAAGGCAGCTTTTGGGCTGATGCCCTCTGCCCTCCATCCCATGTGCTAGCCCAAAGACTGGGGTGAGCAAGAGGGGAATTGGCGCCTCTGATTCCAGTGGAGTGACTCCTGATTTACACAGGCCCTGGCAGGGGGCAGGCAGCACAGAGGTCTGAACCCCTCTGGCTCTCTGTGCTGTGGGGGGTCTTGCTCTGGGTTGGACAACACCAGCGGCTCAGTCCTGCAGGGGCCAGTTCCAGCCCGCAGCTGCCAACCCAGCCGGGCATCTCCGCGGTACCTCTGTCCCGGCCTCTCGGCGGCCACGTCCCTGCCGGCATTTGGCTGGGGAGGCTGCTCTGCGGGGATCGGGGCTCCGGCACCGGGCTCACGTCCCCAGATCGGCCCCGGGGCAGGCTCCCACCAGAGCCGGGGCCACCCCAAGTGGTGGGTTTTTGGCTGGAGAGTCGATGACGGGTTTGTTGGGTGCCCTGGGTCAGAGAGCGAGTCCTGAACGCTGGCCTCCCAGGGCGTGTGTCTTCAAGTGGCGGGGGATCCCCTCGCCAGCCCCACTGAGGAATTTGGGGGTCATTCCCCCTGGCCCCAGAATTTGCTTTTCCTGAACCCAGTAGTGCCAGCCCACAGGTCCCTGCCTGGCATTTCACCGCCGAAAATGCCCTGAGCTAGCGAGATCTCCAGGCATCACCTTGCTGAGCAAAATCAACTAACCGCTGTGAGCAGGATTTGAACCTGCGCAGGGAAACCCTATTGGATTTCAAGTCCAACGCCTTAACCACTCGGCCATCACAGCTGGGTGATAATAATGTTTCTCCCTCCTGCTGTAGAAAGTCTGTTCTTTGTGGGTGCAATGGGGGTGTTATGGCTCAGAGCTCTGGCTTTCTAAGTAGGTACATTTCTGCGGGGGTGAGTAGATTGGTAAATAGAGGGGGGTGTCAGCGAAGGGGTGCATAGACAGCTCGGGTAGGGGTAGATAGAGAGATTCTGTTTCTTAACGTTTACTTTATGAAAGCAAAACTCGACGAGAAATACATTCTTTCCAGATTTCCCCCCTCTGCCCGTAGTTTCAAGACTCAACCATTCTTCAAACGCAGTCAGCGAGGAGCCTTCGCTGACCATGTTGTTTTGTATGTTGATTGGAGCGCAGCCAGGTGTAAATCATTTTGCCCCTTCCAGATTGAAGCGTAGTTGGGTGTAAATCGTTTTGTCCAATGATGATGGAAGGATAGTTGCAGATAAATCATTTTGTTCCTTGCTGATTGGAGTGTAGCTGGTGTCAATCATTTTGCCCCTTGCTGATTGGAGGATACCTGGATATAAATCATTGTGTTCCTTGCTGGCTGGCGAATACCTGGGTATAAATCACTTTACCTGTTGCTGATTGGCAGATACCTGGGTATAAATCATGTTGTTCTCGCTGATTGGTGGACACCTGGGTATAAATCATTTTGTTCCTTGCTGATTGGCAAATACCTGGGTATAAATCATTTGCCCATTGCAGCTGGATCTTGCCTTTACTGAAACCTTCATTTTTTCAGCTCCTCATGAGAGCTGCCTGGAGTTACAGCCTCACAGGGAAACAGCTCTAGCTGCAATAACAAAACCTCTGGAGATGCCGGGGATTGAACCCGGGGCCTCATACATGCAAAGCATGCGCTCTACCACTGAGCTACATCCCCCACACATAGGTGAGCCCTACCCCTGTGAGAACTCCTCTCTATGCCTGGTTCTCAGCCCAGCTCCCCTGGTCCATTCCCTACCCCATCCACCGGGAGAGCCCAGGGCCGATCTCACACCACGTTCTGCCCCCAGGGTGCGGTCAGGACTGGGCATGGGCCTGGGGTTAAGAGGGACTGGACAAAAATTTGGAGATGGGCCTGATGCGGGGGGAGAGGCTCCTTGAAGCTGTGGGAGCTGGATTTGCGCTCAGCATACTGGAAGCCTTTAAGCCTCATGGATACTATATAACCCTAGGAGGAGAGGGGGACCTGTATGGCCCTGGGGGATGGGGTCTCTGTATTGTCCTGGGGAGGGGGCGTCCCTATATGTCCCCTATGGCCCTGGGGAGGGGAGTCCCTATATGTCCCATATGGCCCTGGGGGCAGAGGTCCCCTATGGCCCTGGGGAGGGGAGTCCCTATATGTCCCTGGGGGCAGGGTTCCCCTATTGCCCTGGGTAGGGGAGTCCCTTTATGTCCCCTATGGCCCTGGGGGAGGGGGTTCCCTTTTGCCCTGGGGAGAGGGAGTCCCTATATGTCCCATATGGCCCTAGGGGAGGGCACAGAACAGGGGGGAGGGGCCCCTGCCCTTCTTCCTGCCCTCACTCAAGATGGCGGCATGGGGCTCGCCGTCGCCGGCTGCGCCGTTCTCGCGGGATCTCCTCCGAGCGCACGGGCGCGCTCTCTCGATCTATCGCTCTCTCGCGCGCGCAAGCGCTCGGGGCGGGGCCGGGAGCCGCTGGTCGGTTGCCAGGGGCAACGAGGGGGCCTAGGGCCGGGGCGCGGAGCCTGAGCGAGAGAGAGAGAGAGAGAGAGAGCCCGGGGTGCGCGCGCGGGGCTGGGATTCCAGCGGGTGGGGCGCGGGGGAGGGGGAGCCTCTATGGGGGGGGGGGCGCGGGGAGGGGGTTTTCCACGGGGGGGGCGCGGGGAGGGGGCTCCACGGGGGGGGGGCGATGCGGGCAGGGGACGGGGGGCCGTGAGGATGGGGGGGTCCCCTGGGGGTCTGTGGTGGGGACGACGGGCGATGGGGGGGGCTCCCCGGGGCGGGGGGCCCGGTGCTGCCTCCGGTCACCCCGGCCTCACGCCTTCGCTCCCCCCGCCCCAGCCAGGCCCTGCCACGGGACCCCCCGGCCGATGGCGCTGGTCAGCGGGCTGGTGCCGGCCCGGTTCCTGACCCTCACGGCCCACCTCGTCCTCGTCATCAGCCTCTTCTGCTCCCGGGTAAGAGACCCCGACGGCGCGGCCCGCTCGCCCCGGCCCGCCCCGTCTGCCCGCCCCAGCGACCCCGCGACCCCGCCCCGCCCCGCCCGCCCCGTCTGCCCGCCCCAGCCCGCCCGCCCCGACTGCCCGCCCCCGACCCCCCCGCCCCCCCGACTGCCCGCCCCACCCCCCTACCCCCCCCCGACTGCCCGCCCCCGACCCCCCCCGCCCCCCCCCCCGACTGCCCGCCCCCCCGCTGCCCGCCCCACCCCCCCCCCCCCCCCCCTGCCCCCCACCCGCCCCCCCCCCCGACCCACTCCCCCCCCCCCGCCCCCCGCCCCCCCCCCGCCCCCTCCCGCCCCCCCAGCACCCCGCCCCCCCCCCCCCCGACTCCCCCCCCCCCCCCCGACCCCCCTGACCCGACTCCCCCCCCCGACCCCCGACCCCGCCCCGACCCCGCCCCCCCCACCCCCCCCCCCCCCCCCCCCCTCCCCGACCCCCCCTGACCCGACTCCCCCCGCCCCCCCTGACCCCCCTGACCCCCTGACCCGCCCTGACCCGACTGCCCGCCCCAGACCCCGCGACCCCGCCCCGACTGCCCGCCCGCCCCGGCCCCCGACCCGCCCTGACCCACTGCCCGCCCGCCCCGTCTGCCCGCCCGCCCCAGCCCCCGCCCCGGCCCGCCCGCCCCGACTGCCCGCCCCCCCGGCCGGCCCTGACCCGCCCTGACCCGACTGCCCGCCCGCCCCGTCTGCCCGCCCGCCCCCAGCCCCCGCCCGCCCGCCCGCCCCGACTGCCCGCCCGCCCCGGCCCCTGACCCGCCCTGACCCGACTGCCCGCCCGCCCCGTCTGCCCGCCCGCCCCAGCCCCCCCCCGCCCCGACTGCCCGCCCCCCCCGGCCCGACCCGCCCTGACCCGCTCCCGCCCCCGACCCCGCGACCCGCCCCGACTGCCCGCCCGCCCCGCCCCGCCCCCCCGGCCGGCCCTGACCCGCCCAGCCCCCCTGACCCGACTGCCCGCCTGCCCCGGCCGCCTGACCCGCCCTGACCCGACTGCCCGCCCCCCGACCCCGCGACCCCGCCCCGCTGCCCCGCCCCAGCGACCCCGCCCGCCCCCCGGCCTGACCCGCCCACCCGTCCCAGCGACCCGCCCTGCCCGACTGCCCGCCTGCCCCGCCGGCCCTGACCCGCCCCCGACTGCCCGCCCCCCCCCCGCCCCGACTGCCCGCCCCAGCCCGCCCGCCCTGACCCGACTGCCCGCCCCCCCGGCCCGCCCTGACCCGCCCGCCCGACTGCCCCCCGCCCCCCGTCTGCCCGCCCGCCCCAGCGACCCCGCCCCGCCCGCCCCGACTGCCCGCCCGCCCGCCGGCCCTGACCCGCCCTGACCCGCCCCGCGCCCCCCCCACCCGCCCTGACCCGACTGCCCGCCCGCCCCGTCTGCCCGCCCGCCCCCGACCCCGCCCCGACCCGCCCCCCCGACTGCCCCCCGCCCCGCCCGCCCGCCCTGACCCGACTGCCCGCCCCGACCCCCGACCCGCCCTGACCCGACTGCCCGCCCGCCCCGTCTGCCCGCCCGCCCCAGCGACCCCCCGCCCCCCGCCCGACTGCCCGCCCGCCCCCCCTGCCCGCGCCGCTGCCCCGCCCCCGACCCGCCCTGACCCGACTGCCCGACCCCGCCCGCCCCGACTGCCCGCCCGCCCCCGCCCCGCCCGCCCCGACTGCCCGCCCGCCCCGGCCGCCCTGACCCGCCCTGACCCGACTGCCCGCCCGCCCCGTCTGCCCGCCCGCCCCACCCGACTGCCCGCCCGCCCCGACTGCCCGCCCCGCCCCCGCCCGCCCCCGCCCCCGCCCGCCCCCGCTGCCCCCCGCCCCGGCCCGCCCCGCTGCCCACTGCCCCCCCGCCCCGCCCTGACCCACTGCCCGCCCCCCCGTCTGCCCCCGCCCCGCCCGCCCCGCCCCCCCCACTGCCCGCCCGCCCGGCGGCCCCGCCCGACCCGCCCGCCCGCCCGTCTGCCCGCCCGCCCCAGCGACCCGCCCCAGCCCGCCCGCCCCGACTGCCCGCCCGCCCCGCCCTGCCCGCCCCCCACTGCCCGCCCCGCCCCGCCCGACTGCCCGCCCGCCCCGCTGCCCGCCCCGCCCCCCGCCCGCCCCCCTGACCCGCCCTGCCCGACTGCCCGCCCGCCCCGACCCCGCCCGCCCCGCCCGCCCCGCCCGCCCGCCCGCCCGCCCCCGCCCCCCCCCGCCCGCCCCCCCCCCGCCCCGCCCGCCCCCCGACTGCCCGCCCGCCCGCCCCAGCCCGCCCCGACCCGCCCTGACCCGACTGCCCGCCCCGACGCCCGCCCGCCGCCCCGACCCCCCGACTGCCCGCCCGCCCGACCGCCCTGCCCTGACCCGACTGCCCGCCCGCCCCGTCTGCCCGCCCGCCCCACTGCCCGCCCCCGACCCGCCCTGACCCGCCCGCCCCGACCCGCCCGACCCGCCCGCCCCGACTGCCCGCCCGACCCGCCCGCCCGCCCCCGACCCCGCCCCGCCCGCCCCGACTGCCCGCCCCCGGCCCGCCCTGACCGCCCGCCCCGACCCCGACTGCCCGCCCGCCCCGACCCCGCCCCGACCCGCCCTGACCCGCCTGCCCGCCCCCGACCCCCTGACCCGCCCGCCCCGACTGCCCGCCCCGACCCGCCCTCACCCCGCCCGCCCCGACTGCCCCGCCCCGACCGCCCGCCCCCCCGACGCCCGCCCCCGCCCGCCCCGACTGCCCCCGCCCGACGCCCCGCCCGCCCTGACCCGCCCGCCCCGACTGCCCGCCCCGCCCCGCCCCGCCGCCCGCCCCGACCCCGCCCCGCCCTGCCCGCCCCGCCCGACTGCCCGCCCCCACCCGCCCTGACCCGCCCGCCCCGACCCCCGACCCGCCCGCCCCGACCCGCCCGCCCCGACTGCCCGCCCCGACCCGCCCTGACCCGCCGCCCCGACTGCCGCCCTGACCTGCCCCCCGCCCCGACCCGCCCGCCCGACTGCCCGCCCCCGACCCGCCCCGACCCGCCCTGCCCGACTGCCCGCCCCCGACCCGCCCGCCCGCCCCCCCGACCCCCCCTGACCCGCCCGCCCCGACCCCGCCCCGCCCGCCCTGACCCGACTGCCCGCCCCCGACCCGCCCTGACCCGCCCGCCCCGACTGCCCGCCCCGACCCGCCCTGACCCGCCCGCCCCGACCCGCCCTGACCCGCCCGCCCCGACTGCCCGCCCTGACCCGCCCGCCCCGACTGCCCGCCCCCCCGACCCGCCCCGACCCGCCCCGCCCCCTGACTGCCCGCCCCGACCCGCCCGCCCCGCCCGCCCCGACCCCCCGACCCGCCCCCCCGACTGCCCGCCCCCCGACCCCGCCCTGACCCGCCCTGCCCGCCCCCGCCCCGACCCGCCCTGCCCGCCCCCGACTGCCCGCCCCCCGACCCGCCCCGACCCGCCCGCCCCCGCCCCGACTGCCCCCCGCCCTGACCCGCCCGCCCCGACTGCCCGCCCCCCCGCCCCGCCCCCCCCCCCCCCCGACTCCCGCCCTGACCCGACTGCCCGCCCCGACCCGCCCTGACCCGCCCGCCCGACTGCCCGCCCCGACCCGCCCGCCCCGACTGCCCGCCCCCCCGACCCGCCCTGACCCGCCCGCCCCGACTGCCCGCCCTGACCGCCCCCCGACTGCCCACCCCCCGACCCGCCCCCCCGCGACCCCGCCCTGGCCCACCCCGCCCCCGCCCCGGCCCGCCCTGACCCGACTGCCCGCCCCGACGCCCCCGCGACCCCGCCCTGACCCGCCCGCCCCGACTGCCCGCCCCGACCCGCCCTGACCCGACTGCCCGCCCCCGACCCGCCCGCCCCGACTGCCCGCCCCGACCCGCCCTGACCCGACTGCCCGCCCTGACCCGCCCGCCCCGACTGCCCGCCCCCGACCCGCCCGACCCAACTGCCCCCATGACCCCGCGACCCCGCCCTGGCCAGCCCGCCCGCCCCGGCCCGCCCTGACCCGACTGCCCCCATGACCCCGCAACCCCGCCCCGACCCGACTCCCGCCCTGACCTGACTGCCCGCACCCGCGACCCCCACCCCCCCCGGCCAGCCCGCCCCGCCGCCCGCCCTGCCCGCCCGCCCCGATGCCCTGACCCGCCCGCCCCAGTGACCCCGCCTGACCCGCCCGCCCCGACTGCCCGCCCTGACCCGCCCGCCCCAGCGACCCCCCGACCCCCCCGCCCCGACTGCCCTCCCCACGACCCCCGACCCCGCCCCTGCCTGCCCTGACCCGACTGCCCGCCCCCCATGACCCGCGACCCCGCCCTGGCCAGCCCGCCCGCCCCGTTGCCCGCCCTGACCCGACTGCCCGCCCTGACCCACTCCCCCCCAGCGACCCCGCGACCCCGCCCCGCCACCCGCCCCAGCCGCCCCCGCCCCGACGCCCTGACCCCCCGCCCCAGTGACCCCGCCCTGACCCGCCCGCCCCACTGCCCGCCCTGACCCGCCCGCCCCAGCGACCCCGCCCCGACCGGCCCGCCCCGACGCCCTGACCCGCCCGCCCCAGTGACCCCGCCCTGACCCGCCCGCCCCGACTGCCCGCCCTGACCCGCCCACCCCAGCGACCCCACCCCGACCGGCCCGCCCCGCCCCTGACCCGCCCCTGCCCTGCCCGCCCCCCGCCCCGCCCTGCCACCCGCCCGCCCTGGCCCGCCCTGACCCGACTGCCCGCCCCCGCGACCCCGCGACCCCGCCCGCCCCACTGCCCGTCCCCCCGACCCCAGCGACCCCGCCCCGGCCGCCCTGACCCGACTGCCCGCCCCCATGACCCCGACCCCGCCCTGGCCAGCCCGCCCGCCCCGTCTGCCCGCCCGACCCCTGCCCGCCCCCCGGCCCCGGCCCGCCCCGCCCGCCCGCCCCGCTGCCCGCCCCGGCGCCCCCGACCCCCCCCGGCCCGCCCGCCCGACTGCCCGCCCCGACGCCCCGCGCCCGCCCGCCAGCCCGCCCCGACTGCCCCTGCCCCGCGCCCCGCCCACCCGGCCCATGCCCCCCGCCCCGCCCGCCCTGGCCCGCTCCCGCCCCAGCGCCCCCGCCCCGCCCCCCAGCCCGCCCCGACTGCCCGCCCCAGCGACCCCGCCCCACGCCTGCCCGCCTGCCCTGACGCCCCCGCCCGGCCGGCCTGCCCGCCCGCCCCGCGCCTGCCCGCCCGCCCCGACGCCCCCGCCCCGCGCCCGCCCGCTCCGCCCCCCGCCCGCCCGCCCCGCCGCCCGCCCGACGCCCCCGTCCCGGCCCGGCCCCGCCCCCGCTCCGCCCCCCGCCCTGCCCGCCCGCCCCGACGCCCCCGCCCCGCCCTGGCCCGCCCGCCCGCCCGCCCATGACCCGCCCCGCCCGAGGGGACAGGCCCTGGCCCCATTCCGTGCCCCCATTCCCCCGCCATCCTTGCCCTGGGGCTGGGTGGGAGCCCACGCCCCCTAGAGGGCAAAGGGCCTGTTTCCCGGTGCCTGTTCTCACCACGAGGGGTTATTTCCCTGCTGGCTCCTCCCCAGCACTCCTCCACCCCAACGCCCACGACCTGCGCCCAGACGGCCCGCCCGCCCCGACACCGTGCCCCTGCACGACGCCCATAACGCCCATACCTCTGCAGCACACCTGCCCACACATACAGCATGCCCACCCATCCACCCCGACAGCACACACCTGCATGACACCCACAAGGTACCCCCATGTAGCACACTCTGACAATGCACACCAATGCAGCACTCCCGCCCGGAGACACCCGCCCACCCTGACAACACACAGCCCTATGGTGCTCGTGAGGTCCGCCCATACCACATGCCTGCCTGCTCACCCAAGGGTGTACACCCCTGTGACATACACCTGTACGACATGTCTGCCCCGATGACACATGCCTTTATGACACCCGCGCCTCCGATGTACACCCGTACAACACGCCGACCCTGATGACACACAGCCGCATGATCCCTGTGACGTACCCCCATACGACGACCATGCCTGCAACACACACCTGCCCTTACAACGTCCATGCCTACAGTACATCCCCGTACCATATGCCCATCCTGACAATGGCTGCCTGCCCCAACGACGCACACCCATCCATGTGACGCACCACCCGTACAACGTGCACAGCTGCCCCGGCAACACCTGCCTGCCATTACCACGCACACCCCTGGGACACACATACCGATCTCCCAGCACGCTCACCACCTAACCCGGTGCACAGGATCCTCCAAGGCCACCCCTCGCACAGCAGGGCCTTCCATCTCTCTCACACATCAGGCCTCTCCCAGCCCCCAGCGTGTGCACCTGGATGCACGCTCACCGCGCACACACGGTCGCTTTCCAGAGGTGAGAGGAGGGGTGTGGGGAGCGCTGGCTGCAGGGATCCGGGAGGGGTTGTGGCTGCAGGGAGGTGGGCAGCCACAATGTGGATCAGGACTCCTGGGTTCTCTCCCCGGCTCTAGGAGGGGTGTGGGGGCTGGTGGGTTAGAGCAGGGGAGGGCTGGGAATCAGGGTGGCATCCTTTCCCCTGCCTCTGCTCTGCCCCCCCGATTCTACCCCAGCCTGCCCCCCCCCGCAGGGCTGCTCTCACCGCCCCCTGTCTTCCAGGACAACAACGTCCTCGCCTCGCTGCCCCTGCAGTACAGCCAGCAGCAGTATCAGCGCCAGGACCTGGAGTGAGTCAGCCAGGGCCTGTGGGGCGGACGGGTCTGGGTCTGCAGGGGGACGAGGGGCACCTGGGATGGCAGGGGGACAGGGGGGAGGAGGATGGGCCCGGCAGGGCATGGAGGGAGGAGGATGGGACTGCAGAGGGGGTGGAAGTGGGCTCAGAGAGGTGGGGGAGGCATGAGATTGCAGGGGGCTGGGCCTGTGGGGAGACCGGGGCAGGCAGAAGGGGCCTGGGAGCGAGGGAAGGCAGGACCCGGGGGGACAGGCTGGCCCAGGGAGAAGGGGCCTGGGAGCGAGGGAAGGCAGGACCCGGGGGGCAGGCTGGCCCAGGGAGAAGGGGCCTGGGAGCAGAGGGGGGGAGAGGGGCAGGACCCGGGGGGGGCCAGGCTGAGGGGCCTGGGCAGGGGAGAAGGGGCCTGGGAGTGAGGGGGCAGGCTGGCCCAGGGAGAAGGGGCCTGGGAGTGGAAGGCAGGACCCGGGGGCAGGCTGGCCCAGGCAGAAGGGGCCTGGGAGTGAGGGAAGGCAGGACCTGGGGGGCAGGCTGGCCCAGGCAGAAGGGGCCTGGGAGCGAGGGAAGGCAGGACCCGGGGGGCGGGCTGGCCCAGCCTGGGCCCGTGTAACCCTGTGTCTCCCGTCCGGCTGTCGGCGCTGACCCCAGGCTGGTGGTGGCCCTGTCAGTGACGCTGGGCTTGTTCGCCGTGGAGCTGGCCGGCTTCCTCTCCGGGGTGTCCATGTTCAACAACACGCAGAGTCTGCTCTGTATCCTTCCGCCCTGCTGGGGGGGGGAATGAACTCTCCCCCTCATCCCCCGTGCGGGGTTACAGCATCCCCCGGGACCTGCCTGCTTCCCCCCCCCCGGCACAACGACTGTCGTCCCCAGGGGGCGCCACCGCTGATCTGCACTTGCTGGCTCAGGGGCAGGGGAATGGGGCGCGGGGCCTGGCCCCTGTAGGGGGCGCCAGCTCCCATCCAGGCCCAGGGCGGGGACTGGCTGGCTCGGGGGGGCGGGGAATGGGAAGGAGGGGGTGTCACTCAGCTGACCCCAAAGATCACCCTGGTTAGCACTGTTGGCATCCACAGCGGAGAGACCAGGGCCTGGATGGGTCCGGGAGAGAGGGGACTGGCAGCCCCCGCCCTGCCCCAGCGGCATCCGCCCCCACATCGGTCCCCGTTGTTGGTCCCTGACTCTGCTCCCCCCCCCCAGCCATTGGGGCCCACGCTGCCGCTGCCGTGGCCCTCCTCTTCTTCCTCTTCGACCAGTGGGACAGCAGCCTCTACTGGTGGATCTTTGCCTTCTGCAGGTCAGTGGCGCCCCCTGCAGGAGCCGCAGCCCCTTCCCTCTGCCCAGCGTCAGAGACTGGCGGGAGCACAGCACTCCAGGAACCGGCGCCCCCTGGGGGGACAGGCCCCTGCCCCATTCCCCGCCCCCTGAACCAGCCGTCCCTGCCCTGGGGCCAGACAGGAGCCGACACCCCCTTGAGGGGACAGGCCCCTGCCCCATTCCCCGCCCCCTGAACCAGCCGTCCCTGCCCTGGGGCCGGACGGGAGCCCACGCCCCCGAGAGGGGACAGGCCCCGTGCCCCATTCCCCGCCCCCTGAACCAGCCGTCCCTGCCCTGGGGCCAGACAGGAGCCGACACCCCCTTGAGGGGACAGGCCCCTGCCCCATTCCCCGCCCCCTGAACCAGCCGTCCCTGCCCTGGGGCCAGACAGGGAGCCGACACCCCCTTGAGGGGACAGGCCCCGTGCCCCATTCCCCGCCCCCTGAACCAGCCGTCCCTGCCCTGGGGCCGGACGGGAGCCCACGCCCCCGAGAGGGGACTGGCCCCGTGCCCCATTCCCCGCCCCCTGAACCAGCCGTCCCTGCCCTGGGGCCGGACGGGAGCCCACGCCCCTGAGAGGGGACAGGCCCCGTGCCCCATTCCCCGCCCCCTGAACCAGCCGTCCCTGCCCTGGGGCCGGACGGGAGCCCACGCCTCCGAGAGGGGACAGGCCCCGTGCCCCATTCCCCGCCCCCTGAACCAGCCGTCCCTGCCCTGGGGCCGGACGGGAGCCCACGCCCCCGAGAGGGGACAGGCCCCGTGCCCCATTCCCCGCCCCCTGAACCAGCCGTCCCTGCCCTGGGGCCAGACGGGAGCCCACACCCCCTTGAGGGGACAGGCCCCTGCCCCATTCCCCGCCCCCTGAACCAGCCGTCCCTGCCCTGGGGCCAGACAGGAGCCCACACCCCCTTGAGGGGACAGGCCCCTGCCCCATTCCCCGCCCCCTGAACCAGCCGTCCCTGCCCTGGGGCCAGACGGGAGCCCACGCCCCCGAGAGGGGACAGGCCCCGTGCCCCATTCCCCGCCCCCTGAACCAGCCGTCCCTGCCCTGGGGCCGGACGGGAGCCCACGCCCCGAGAGGGGACAGGCCCCGTGCCCCATTCCCCGCCCCCTGAACCAGCCGTCCCTGCCCTGGGGCCGGACGGAGCCCCCCGGGGGGGACAGGCCCCGTGCCCCATTCCCCCCCCCCTGACCCCGTCCCTCCCTGCCGCGAGCCCACGCCCCCGAGAGGGGACAGGCCCCCCCCTGACCAGCCGCCCCCCCCCGGGGGGGGCCCCCCCCGAGAGGGGACAGGCCCCGTGCCCCATTCCCCGCCCCCTGAACCAGCCGTCCCTGCCCTGGGGCCGGACGGGAGCCCACGCCCCCTAGAGGGCAAAGGGCCTGTCTCCCGGTGCCTGTTCTCACCAAGATGGGTTATTTCCCTGACGGCTCCTCCCCAGCACTGGCCGCTCACTGCAGTGCCTCCATCTGCCTCTCCTTCTTCATCTTGGAGCGCTGGGAGAGCGCCACCTACTGGTACATCCTGGCCTTCTGCAGGTAGATGCCCCGAGGGGGAGGGCTGGGGTGGGCCCCTCGGGAACGTCCTGCCCACGGCAGAGCCCCTGGCACTGACCCCGCCTGCCCTTGTGCCCCCAGCGCCCTGCCCGCGGCCTTCGAGATCCTGCTCTTCGTGTCCGTCTTCGGGTTCAAGAGGAAGCCCCTGTGAGCCGGAGCCGGGCCCCCCGGGAGGTCTGTTCCGCTGGCCCCAGAGGCTCTGAGCCGGGGGGTGGATACGCCGGACGGGGCGCTCGCCAGCGCCCGCTGCTGCTCCTCAGCCCCACAGGCCCGGCGCTGGACGGGGCAGCTGGTGGTGGGGTGGCTGCATGGGGCAGTCAGGACCTGGTGCTCTGCCTCTAGGGGGCAGGGCTGAATTAGCCCCCTAGGAGCCTGCAGCGAGCTGCACCAGGATGCCCCAGTGGCGGCAGGCGGTACTGCACCCTGCGTCAGCCCCATGGGACCCCGCAGCGCCCCCCAGGGGCCACAGGCGGGACTGCACCCTGCGTCAGCTCCATGGGACCCTGCAGCGCCCCCCCAGGGGCAACAGGCGGGACTGCACCCTGCGTCAGCCCCATGGGACCCTGCAGCGCCCCCCCCCAAAGACCCTCCATGGCAGCCCCTGTGCATAGCAGTGATAGGATCAGTGGGGTGGAGCCCCTAAGGAGCGTCTGACGCAGCGAGGGAGAAGAATTATTCCTGTTTCGACCAGCTGCTCCCCCTCTGGCTGTGTCCCCCTCCCCCTGGCCGGGGCCGACGCCATGCCCCGGACCCTGCCCTGCCCCATGAATAAAGCTGACTTTCCTAGCCAGAATTGGGGTCTGTTCCAGTCTGCTCCCCGTTCGGCTGTGGGCTGGGGGGCAGAACTCATGGCGGTGATCCCATGAGAAGGGGGCTGATTCGCAGAGGGTGCTCTCCCTTCACAGTCACTGCTGCCCCACTGGCCCCAGGGGGCTGTGCATCAGGTTTGAGGGACAAATGCAGTGTGGGGCTGGGGCTGGGCTACCCCCAAGGGGCTGCGGGTCGGGAGTGAGGGGCACTGGCAGAGCTGGGGGGGCAGGGGCTGCGGGTCAGGAGTGAGGGGCACCGGCAGGGCTGGGCTAGCAGGGGTGTGGGGCGGGAGTGAGGGGCACCGGCAGGACTGGGGGGGGCCCAGGGCCCGCAGGGGTTGTAACAATTCCTAGTGGCCGCTCCAGGCTGGAGTTAAGCTCCAGCGGTTGCAGCTTCTCTCTGACCTTGGCTTGGTAAACGCTCCCACCACCCAAATGCAAAAACCCCTTGAACCCAGGAAGCCCACTTGGGAATCCCACCCTGTGGGGCGCCCTCAAGCCCTTTCGCCCCCCTCCGGGGAAGAGCTGAGAAAGAAAAGGGGCCACCAGCAAATTACACAAATGGTGCACAAACCCCTTAGGCCACCAAAAATCCAGTCCCGTTCTTAAAAAAGGGAAATTGTTATTAAAACCAAAAAGAAAGCCTGGAAATGAGGCTTTGGCTGGATTTGAAAGGAGCCGTTCCGAACATCAAACGGGACCCCAAGCTCAGTCAGGGGGGTCTGGGCAGCGCCCGGCGCGACGGGGCCCCAATCGCGGTCGGGGGGTCTGGGCGGCGCGACGGGGCCCCGAGCTCGGTCGGGGGGTCTGGGCGGCGTGACGGGGCTCCGAGCTTGGTCGGGGGGGGTCTGGGCAGCGCCCGGCGCGACGGGGCCCCAATTGCGGTCGGGGGGTCTGGGCGGCGCGACGGGGCCCCGAGCTCGGTCGGGGGGTCTGGGCGGCGTGACGGGGCTCCAAGCTTGGTCGGGGGGGTCTGGGCAGCGCCCGGCGCGATGGGGCCCCAAGCTTGGTTGGGGGGGGGTCTGGGCAGCGCCCGGCGCGACGGGGCCCCAATCGCGGTCGGGGGGTCTGGGCGGCGCGACGGGGCCCCAAGCTTGGTCGGGGGGGGTCTGGGCAGCGCCCGGCGCGACGGGGCCCCAATCACGGTCAGGGGGTCTGGGCGGCGCGACAGGGCCCCGAGCTTGGTCGGGGGGGGTCTGGGCAGCGCCCGGCGCGACGGGGCCCCGAGCTCGGTCGGGGGGTCTGGGCGGCGCGACGGGGCCCCGAGCTCGGTCGGGGGGTCTGGGCGGCGTGACGGGGCTCCGAGCTCGGTCGGGGGGGGTCTGGGCAGCGCCCGGCGCGACGGGGCCCCAATCGCGGTCAGGGGGTCTGGGCGGCGCGACGGGGCCCCGAGCTTGGTCGGGGGGGGTCTGGGCAGCGCCCAGCGCGACGGGGCCCCAATCGCGGTCGGGGGGTCTGGGCGGCGCGACGGGGCCCCGAGCTCGGTCGGGGGGTCTGGGCGGCGTGACGGGGCTCCGAGCTCGGTCGGGGGGGGTCTGGGCAGCGCCCGGCGCGACGGGGCCCCAAGTTCAATTGGGGGGGTCTGGGCAGTGCCCGGCGCGACAGGGCCCCGAGCTTGGTCGGGGGGGCTCTGGGCAGCGCCCGGCGCGACGGGGCCCCGAGCTCGGTCGGGAGGGTCTGGGCAGCGCCTGGCGCGACGGGGCCCCGAGTTCGGTCGGGGGGGTCTGGGCAGCACCCGGCGCGACAGGGCCCCGAGCTCAGTCGGGGGGCTCTGGGCAGCGCCCTGTGGAAGGACCGCCCGGTACCAATGTTAACTAGCAGTGATGTGGGACGCTGTGCGGCCCTGCCCGTCGCTCCGACGCCCAGTGAGCTGTGGGGAGAAAGGCAGTCTGTGAAACCCCCAGAGCTGGGGGGCAGTCAAAAGGCCAGTGCTCGTCCTGGGGCTCCCCGCCCCGCACAGGGGGTCACAAGAGTCGCGCCCTGGAGCCACAGCTACTGCCGGCTCAGTGCCCCTGTGTGACACGAGTGTGATGGGGCTCAGAGCGGCCCCCGCCAGCAAGGAGGCCAGAGCCTGGGGGAAGCGGGGCCTCCACCCCTGCTCCAGAGCCCCATGGAAGATGCAAACCCGGCCCCGCAGAAGGACCAGAGGTGGGGGGGTGGGACGGGGGGGCTGTCAGGTCTGTCTCTCTCTCTCTCTCTCTCTCTCACACACACACACCCCTTGCAAATCCGCTTGCCTGACTTTTTTGGTAGCTACGGTCACAGCCCTGACCCCGCTGTTACGAAAAGCCCAATGCGCCTCTTTCCTGAGACGTACGGTCGCTACCGACTTGCGGCATATGCAAATATCTTCCGTGGGGCATTGTGGGAGGAAAGAGAGCGGAGCCGGTACTGCGCGGGTTTTTGCCATGCGGGGCCTCCGACCCCCTCCCCGCGGAGCGAGGGGAGGGGCAGGAGCGGCGACGGGACGGGGGTGTCCCCCGGGGTGGGTTGCGGCGCTCACCCTGAGCTGGGCGGCAGTGGGCGGCCGGTGGGTCGCGGCGGCGGGGCAGGCTCTGTATCGTCAGTGAGGTACATCCTTACCTGTTCCCCGCCGGGGGCAGCACGTGATGATCGGAGAGCGCATGAGACGTGATTAGAGTCTCCGCGGCCGCGGTCCGCAACGCCGCGGCCCGCTCCTGTCTGATCCTTCCCTGGCGGGGGGCCGCTGGGACGGGGGCCCGCGGGGTCCCCTGAGCGGCGGCGGGTGGGGCTGTGCTCAGGGCGGCCTTAAAGGGGCGGGTTTATGTTCGCCGACTGTTCACGCAGGGCCGAGTAACCCTGCGTCCAGCCTGTCTTCAGCGGCGCTGCACCGTTACAGTCACCCTGCGCTCCTTGCACGAGCGGGGGGCAGCGTTGCACGGTTCCAGTCACGCTCCGCTCTTTTCACGAGCGGGGGACAGCAGTGCAAGGTTACAGGCACGCTCCGCTCTTTTCACGAGCGGGGGACAGCAAAGGTTCCACTCACGCGCCGCTCTTTGCACGAGCGGGGGGCAGCGCTGCACCGTTACAGTCACGCTTTGCTCTTTGCACGAGCAGGGGACAGCAGTGCAAGGTTACAGGCACGCGCCGCTCTTTGCACGAGCGGGGGACAGCGCTACACCGTTACAGTCACGCTCCGCTTTTTGCACAAGTGGGGGACAGCAGTGCAAGGTTACAGGCACGCGCCGCTCTTTGCACAAGCGGGGGGCAGCGCTGCACCGTTACAGGCACGTGCCGCTCTTTGCACGAGCAGGGGGCAGCGTTGCACGGTTCCAGTCACGCTCCACTCTTTTCACGAGCGGGGGACAGTAGTGCAAGGTTACAGGCACGCGCCGCTCTTTGCACGAGCGGGGGACAGCGCTGCCGGTTCCAGTCACAGCCGATTCCCTTGTAATAACGGTGGTGCGGGGAACAAAGTTACAGTCACAATCGATTCCTTTGCAACAATAGCAGACAGCATAATGTTACACTCACAACCCTTGCACTAGCGGGGGACATTGTAACGCTAGTCACAATCTCCCTGCTTGCAATCGCGGGGGACAGCGTTGTAACGTGACTGTCACAGCCTATCCTGTTGCGATAACATTATAGTCACAGCCTATCCCCGTGCAAACGTTGTCCCGGTACAGTCACCATCTAGCCTCCTGCCGTAGTGGGGGACCATCTTACCGTCACCCTCCATCGCCTGCAAGAGGCGAATGACATTTGCGGCGTCGGCATAAGCCACCGGAGATGACAGGCGTGTTTGCAGTGTCGCCGTGTTGGTCCCACCACACCTGGGAGACGAGCGGGGTAAAAAGACGGGGGGGGGGGGCTGTTTGGCCTGGAAAAGAGACGACGGTAAGGACCTAGGGGTGACAGTGGACGAGAAGCTGGATATGAGTCAGCAGTGTGCCCTTGTTGCCAAGAAGGCCAATGGCATTTTGGGATGTATAAGTAGGGGCATAGCGAGCAGATCGAGGGACGTGATCGTCCCCCTCTATTCGACATTGGTGAGGCCTCATCTGGAGTACTGTGTCCAGTTTTGGGCCCCACACTTCAAGAAGGATGTGGAAAAATTGGAAAGAGTCCAGCGAAGGGCAACAAAAATGATTAGGGGTCTGGAACAGATGAGTTATGAGGAGAGGCTGAGGGAGCTGGGATTGTTTAGTC